AAAAAAAAGATGAAAAACCCACTTGAAAATTATTGTAACACTTGAAAAATCACTTCAAACAATCCTTCAAAATCCGTTGGGTTTGGATGGGATTGTTTTATGAATCTGGTATTTATAGATAACACTAGAAAGTCCTTCAAAATCCCTCTCACACAACAATCCTTTAAAATCCTTATATTTTTGAATACCAATGGATTGTTTTTAAGTTGTAAAAAATCTCAAATGAATACCAGTGGATTTTAATGGACTCTTTAAAAAATCTTGAAAATCCAGATTGAATACCACTGGATTGTTTTTAAGTGACATAAAATCCTGATTGAATACCAATGGACTTTTTTACTCAAAAAAAGTCTTTTAAAATCCTACAAAATCCTAAACCAATACACCCCCCTAATTCTTTAAAAGAAATTAATGTAAACGCAATAAAAAAATATATTGCAATAATTAAAGATAAGAAGAAAAATTAATGTAAACGCAATAAAAAAATATATTGCAATAATTAAAGATAAGAAGAAAAAGTAAAGAATTTACAATAATTTACTCTCCACTTTAAAAGCTACACTCATCGTTAGCAATCCACATTATACCGATCAAGAAAATTTCAAAATATCACAATATTTATTTCCTTTAAATCCACATTAAATTGATGAAGAAAACTTCAAAAAATTTATGAGAAAATTTTCAACTGCTTATTCAAATAAAAATCCTATTCAAATGAACAAGTACTCTTTAGAAAAATCTTGTCCTTTGAAGTTACAATTTTTTTTTTCCTGATTGACACTATTTAACTTCTTTTTTTTATTTGTCTTTTCAATTCATTTGTATTAATTATATTTTACTAAATTATAATTTTTTAATTGATAAAGGAAATTGTTTATCAATTTTAAGATATCAAACATACTTTTTGTGACATAAATGAGTAAATAGTAAGTTTTATATCAATTTTTACTAACTTTCTCAATGATTTTAGGGATCGGCTTATTTTTGTTTCTTGTGTATAACATGATTTCATTCACTTTAACATATTTGTGAGTTTCAATAAATTTTTTATTTGTTTAAAATATTAAGAAATTGGTTAGTCATGCACAAAGTGATCATTGCTCATGATAGATAATACGTATTTAAGATTTTATAAAGTAAAACTCTATATTATGTTTGATGACACATTATTTATCTAAAAGTTTATATCTTATATTTCTTCTGATTTATATTTTACAAAAATATTTATCTTTAAAAAATATATTATGTGTGTTATTATTAAAACTTAAAAATTTAAGGGATAAATATCATTTTTTAACCTAACAATTACATAAAAAAGTATAATAGAAAATAATTACCATAATTAACTAGGATTTCCAATATTAAGTTTTTCTACCTTGCAAGATATTTTTTGGCTTACTTATAATATCTAGTGTTAGTTAAAATTCTTAATGGTTCACGCTTAAATCAACATGGAAAAAAAAATGTGAGATCAGTAGCTTTAAAAAATTCACCACCCTATTTAATTTTAACCAAATAACCTCACATCTTACTTTTGCTTTTATTTATACTCTCATCAATTTCTCACCAATTTTAAAGTTACCAAACAAATTGTAAGAAAAAGAAAATGAAAAGAATACGTATTTTATAAAAACTATAAAAAAAAATTTACATATATATTTTTTTACCCTCAATTACATTATATATATTTTTACTCTGTTTATGTGTCATTTTATTTTTAAAATTTCAATTTCTTATTTTATTTTCTTAATTCTATATTTCTTTTATCAATCACATTCTCCGTTGAAAGTGATCATATTCGAGTTTGTTAAAATCATCAAGGACGATAAAACTAATAATCAATACTTAACAATTTTAATGATTTCAAAAGCCTTTTTTTAATAATAAATAATAGACTAAATTATATTTTTAGTTCATCTATAATTTTAAATATACAATTTTGGTCTTCAAAATTTTAATTCAACACTTTTAATATTTCAATTTTATATAATTTGTAATTTTAGTTTATTTACTTTTTACATAATCAAGCAAAATGATTTTTTTAACCTTTATTTCCACTCTTTTTATCCTATCAAATAACTAATAAAACAGTTCACCTTCTATTCATTACTTTCTCTCTCTCTCTTTTTTTTTTAAATCAAACAAATCATTAATGTTATTAAATGTTTTTTTGATAAAGCACTCTAGCTGTTAAGAAAAAATTGTTTAAAAAATGTTTCATGATAATATGACTTAAATATTTTTCATTTTTGTGTTTTTATTTAATATTTATATGTTTGACATGTATATTTTCTTAAGTTTATTACTAAAAAGTTAATGACATGTATGATGATGGTAACGGTCTAAGTGAACATGTGTTCAAAATGGTACTTTATTATGACAAGTCATGAATTTTGAATTTGATAATAGTTATATATGATTTGGAAGATCTTGGTATCTCTACTATTTTGATTTACTATATTATATCACTCAAAAATCATGAGTAGATCATTCATTCATGAGACAAATGTTTTTCAAGTTCTTAGTCTATAATAGAAAAGTTTGTTGTTAGGGTAAATTTGTAAAAGCACATGACTTGTGATAATAGATAAATGTGAAGTAAAGCTACTTTGATGAAATCTTAATGTAAGGTAAAGTTTATGAAAGTATTGGATGAGATGGTAATGTGAAAGATTTAATGAATTATTTAGGGTGGTTAGGTTAATTTTGAATGGAATTTGATGTGAAACTTTCA